CTAATGCCGCCAGAAGTAACTTTGTCGGATTGTTGCGTTATATAATGAGACCAAATTAAAATAGTAGGTACTTTAAGATATTTCGAGTTAACGAAGTCCATTTGTTTCAGCCGTGTATACATTTCACAACGCAATTGAGTGCCAGGACCACATTTATGTCATTAGAAGCGATTAGCGCTCTAACCTTTGCACGCTTGTATACACACCCCCTTTCCCTGTTCGGACGACTTTTACTAAACGTAAAAATGTACGAAATTAATAAAATGAACGGGTAGGTGTATAAATATAAGGAACTCACGGAATGCGTACTTTTAGCCAGTTTAAATTTAGGTACACGCTGTATTGAGGGCACGGTGACACGTTTCACTTTTAATAATATCACAATCTGATCTTTTGCCGTTCACCCATGACGCGATTTCATTGGAAAAAGATTATTTAAACTGAAATTTTATATTAAATTTTTTTATACTAAGCGCATACATGAGAGAAGACAAAAAGACGGCGCTGCCCTAATAATATCGAAAATTACGTTACCATTTTATAAACGTACAATGGAAAAATTATGAAAGATGAAAATCCGATCTATTCCAAAAATGTTTCGTATATGTCTATTAAACGATAAGCGTATATTATACATATCCGATATGATATTTCCAATGATACCGAGGATAATACGTAAATAGGTGTAGGTACAGGTTTCCAACATTATGATCTAATACCGCTAAATTCAAAACATTGGCTACAAGTTAGCGAAAATGTGTAAATTTAATTTAAACCATTTGATCCTTCTAATTTGGAGCACATTGCAAACACAGTTTAAAATTTGTGCTGAAATGTCGTCGAATCGAGAAAGTGAAATATTAAAGTTAGCACGAAACATACAGACTGGCCCAAAAATTACAGATCACTTCAATGACGTTATTAAAGAGCAATTCTACAACTTCATTGCGAAATATCTTGAAAACCAAACTATAAAATCTAAAAAAAAAAGAATACGGTGCCAAGTTCAGGACAATTTAGGGGGGGATGAAAAGATTACTGTGAAAATGATGATGAAACTACACTCTAATCTCCTCCTCCTCTCGGCAATAATTTTGAGCTAATCCATAGTGTGAATGACCCCTCCAGTAATTAATTCCATGAGCAAATGTATCGAGACATTACCTGTATTTAGATTCTCAAATTATAATGTAGAACCGAGTGTAGAACAGATAAACCCAATGGAAGCCGCAAGGCGGAGATAAGCAAAGCACGATAAAGTGAGTAAAAAAATCACAGTCCACTATTCGATTTTCCACATCCTCTTTGAGGTCGTTTTCCTTTCTCATTGATAGAAACTAAAAATATAAATAAAATGGTTAAACAGCTGAGCCGACGTCCTGTAAAAGCTGGACGTTATCTACGCTATCTCGTCTCGCTGCTGGATAGCCAGACTTTTCACTTCCAAGCGTCCCTTCCAATGACCAAATACCTAATGTTCTTCGAAGATAATCACCCAAAAAATGTGATTCGAGATGGCGCCCTTGAAAACTGTACAAATTGTACACGTAACATTTTCTTCTCAAACGAAACGAGATTTATCTTTTAAATAAACACAATAACAATTAAGATAAAAATGCCATCAGTATAAATTGAGTCAGTTATTAAGGTTCATGTTAATCTTATCGATAACGGAGCGATATTACATGAACAAAAAATAAATTGCTATCAATAACCATGTGGTTTTATTATCTCGATATATTTGAAGGGCATTCTTTCAAAGTACTCCGCTTGCACTTGCACTCGGCTATCGCTTTACTGTCATTTTTTTTTAATCTTTGAGGCGATTGTTCAGAATTGAGATTATTTGCAAGTTTTAAATTAGGTAACGTAGAAATAATATTATTTACATCTCGAGCCTCGAGGTACGAAATGGATAAAACAAATTATCTATTTTTTATACCGATGTTGGAAATTCTTGCCTACCACTGCCCACAAAGCCATAATTTAGATCTTGTCCATATGGAGCAAATTCTCTCGCGCGTACTTCTTTAAATTCGCGCGACGCTTGTGGGACGCGAAGTATTTTTGGCGCCTAGTAAGTAGTACCTCGCCAACGTGCGTCTGGATTTGCGCGAAACGATTCGATGTAAATTTCCCTATGGCCCATTTTAAATAACTCAACGCACTATGCACTCGGCTATCGCTTTACTGTCATTTTTTTTTAATCTTTGAGGCGATTGTTCAGAATTGAGATTATTTGCAAGTTTTAAATTAGGTAACGTAGAAATAATATTATTTACATCTCGAGCCTCGAGGTACGAAATGGATAAAACAAATTATCTATTTTTTATACCGATGTTGGAAATTCTTGCCTACCACTGCCCACAAAGCCATAATTTAGATCTTGTCCATATGGAGCAAATTCTCTCGCGCGTACTTCTTTAAATTCGCGCGACGCTTGTGGGACGCGAAGTATTTTTGGCGCCTAGTAAGTAGTACCTCGCCAACGTGCGTCTGGATTTGCGCGAAACGATTCGATGTAAATTTCCCTATGGCCCATTTTAAATAACTCAACGCCTTTACAATGTCGTATAGCCCATCTTAAAAAAACACCCTGTATAGTAGCTATAGTAAAAGTAGCGACGGCGACTGTACCACAAGTCCACAACAATGCACCCATTGATTTGTGTTCACGTAACCCTTAATTTTAGGCAAATGACAACTTATTGCTCTTTATGACGATCAAACTGAATGTTTGGATTTGTCAATTGAGAATATTTTTCTCGAAATTTTTCTAAATCAAATGTAACATAATTTCGGTCAATCTTTGAAGTAATTATTAGAGCTATTAAATTTATGTTACGTATGATTTTTTTTTGTAAAACAAAAAAGTAAATAATAGCAATGCTATGAGAAGTCCAAGCTTTCACTTTAAGGTACTACTTTATATTTAGCAACTCGAGTAGTAACTTTACGACCGCGAATTATATGCCGAGGCGCAAAAATCCGCCTCCTGCAGTGGGCTAAGGACTTCGAAAGCTTCTGAAAAGTCTGAAAATTCTAACAAACGAAAGAACTAAAAAAAGAGCCTCCGAAAGGAACAGCAGTGTCTGAAGATTTTGAATGTTGAAAAAGTTCTCAAATGCTTAAAGATTATTTAGTTCCCGAATAATTTGAAAATCCATAAGATCCTTAGCATCCAGCAGCTTTTGAAGCTATAATCAATAGTCATCACAGTTTAATTTTTAGGGAAATTCTCCATAAGTAATGGTTTTGTCCGTCCGTCTGTCTGTTCCTCGTCTAACTCGGGAAAACTTCTACGAATTCAAGGATCAGCCAGTACTATTAAATGCCGGATTAATAGTCGCGTTTCCGAGTGTGAGATGTCAAAAAATGCCCCTACTGAAAATCGTATGCGATTCTTCGTATCTTGTTTGTACTTCATCAAGTTAGTAATTAGGATCTGTGTCTATCGAATCAGTATTTTATGATCATATGAATCCGAGTATGAATCTGTAAAGTACGGAGGTAAAAATCTAGCTAATGGAGAAATGAATTAAACAAATCGCTCAGGACGGACCTCGGGACGGACAGACGACACCCACTCACAAAGTTAATGTTGTCTATACTATCGAAAGATGTAGTCTATGGCTTATAGAAAAAAGATGAAATCATATATTACATAGCCAGGTACAGTATTGAAGGGTAAAAAAACGGCATTTATTAAGTAGTGCGAGTATTGCGACCGGCTAATATATCAAAATCGTCAAAAAGTGTATTAGTTGCTAATTTTATGAGGGCTGACGTCGAAACAGGGGAGAGAATGAAATTCAAATAATGTATAACGATGGAAATGTGACCTTGTTTTCCTTTACTAATAGAAAAATACTCTTTGCTTCTGTCATAACATTTTCGCCATCGTGGATATTGTTAATGTAATTTGTAAATTTTAATGCCCTGAAATTTTGCATTACATTTTCAAAAATTTTACAAAATTAATACAAATTGTAATGTTTGCCTCCTCGCCTCGCCCAACTACGGCAGAACATGGATCATTGTATTTGATAAATCATAACATAACCATCTCATTTTTTGTCTAATTTTGCTTTATTTTTAATTTTAGGGTGGTTGTGTTTAGTAAAGTACGCAATTGTTAAATTAAGTTAATGATGGCCCCAAAAAATTAAAACTTTGGACTTCTAATCGTGTCTTGCAAGGAAAAGTAAAATAGTTGCATTGAGAATTCGTAATTTTTAGGATGATCTTGGGGAATTGCGAACGGAACTGGTTTAATGGCCCATCTAGACTGTAAGACATATATCAAAAAAATGTTTTAGTGGATTACCTTTATTTGTACAAAAAACAAAAGGGGAGGTGGTCCCATTCCTGTCATATTAAGTAATCATATGATCTTGTAGTTTCCTGTCCAAAATTTACAGTTGAAGTTGCCCGTCGGACAAAAAGGGATGATATTGAACCATTAAAAATGGGACAATTTGGACGTGATGGTAACAAAAACTTCTACATTCAACGGTGCTTTAAAGCTGTGGTAGGAAAATTTTGGTTATCAAATCCAGCACCTTTGAAGGAGGTGATAAGATTTTAAGAATTGGCCATTTTCATATCAGGCAAAGCATATCGGATAAGATTAATGGCGATAAAGTGAATTACTTAAGATATGGAAGCGTAATTAACAAACAATTAGTAGAGGATACCTTAAGAAAAAGTGTGGGAATTCCGCGTCTCTCTTTTTAATTGGGAGATGTCGTCGTTTATTAATGATTGTAAATATAAACACCGCGATTTCGTCGCAATTCGGGTCGCACGGCGAGGAAATTTTCGCCTACATAAAATATTTGAAATAATTTCAATTGAAAGGCAGAAGTCAAGGCTGCGCGCGATTAAAATCGGAAAAAAATCTCACTTTTAACACTTCTCGCCAGTGGCACGGCAAATTCAAGGCCGACTTGTATTTTATTCGACTTTGATCTAATATTTTGAAAATTTACAAACGTTACCTTCCAACCGGCCGAGCTATTGCTGTCTCCCTTGTCCTTGAAGTACGGGACGTTCTGAACCATCCATTCGTAAATCTGGGAAAGTGTGAGCCTTTTTTCCGAGGATGAAGTGATAGCTTGTGTGATTAGATCCGCGTAGCTGAGATTGCCCCAAGCATTGCGACGGCTCGAGTTCTTCTTAGCGGGGATGGACGCTGGAGCAGGAACGGGTAAGCCGCCCGTAGTGGCGCACTTGTTGCCCGATTCCTCACCGGGCTCGACGTAATTTTCTGGACGCGGCAAGGGCCACGTGTTGGACCGAGCGCGAGTTTGAGGTTCGAAACCGTCAATTTCGGCGACGGGTTCCATTATATTTAAGTTCATCTTCCTCAATATCACAGCCACTTACCCGCGATTATTATATAATTGTTCCTCTCGATAAATTCGGGAATCGCACTGGCCAGCCTTTTCGCTAAATATAAATTTTGCGACGCAATACTAAGAGAACGCGCACGTGAGATGGCAAACTACTAAAAGAACACACAACAGTTCAACAAGTCATTTTCAATATTTGCTACGTCAGTACATGTGATAACGAGTTCGAAAAGTTCAGTTTTGCGATAGCCCCGCGTTGGTATTAAGACGCACTTAAATATTAAAATCCTAGATTAATTCACAGAATTTAACTTTACAATAACAGAGCGTCGGCGATTTTTGGGCAAAATTTCGGAAATCGTGTCACACTCGGGCCCGAACAACACACGCGTATGACGCAGTAAAACACGTTGGGGGTGCGTAAAAACTTCTCGGCAACGTAGGCTACGTTCTCTTTGTGAACACAACACACCGTGTGCTGAACGAAATGAGAAATTGCCGATCATACGGCTTTGGTTCAGGACGGCCCACTAAGGCATGCGCATTAATTGGCGCCACGCACGCGCTCAAATTGCGTAATTATAATAAACGCATCATAGCACACGTGCCCTCCTGTACACACCTATGCGTTACACCGTTTAAGAATTAGCAAAGAAGCTCGATGGACCGCCTTCCGGCACCTCCAACTTACATTCTTGGTCTTGCCCTTACCGATGCAAACAATTTTATTCAAACAAACGTAGGTAATATCCTTCCGGCAACATTTTTCCAATTATTTGTAAATGTTGTGTCGTAAACGTAAATGCCAACCAGTGAGTGGCATACGAAGTTTTCATTGTTGACGTACCTATACGCTTTTTGGACGATTTGAAAACATCCTCTGGACCTTTCATCTGAATTAAGTGGGTCGACGAAGAGAATAATAAAAATTAAACCTGACAATTTTTGATGTACCTAATAATACCTAATTATTGGATATCTAATGAAAATGTTTAAATTTAGAAATATTTCCATGCATGCGCGACCACGACAGAAGCTTTCATTTGATCCGAACCTACCAAATTCAATCCATCCTGATGATCATATCGTTACAAACTCGCGGAAATATGGAAACGCCATATCGAGGTATTTTTTATTAATTTGTAGATGTAACTGTAAACTTACACATCTAACTGATAATACGAAAGACTTTCCAGGTGTCTCTGGGAATTTATACAATGTCAACTGACAATCTGGATATAGAAACCGATTGAGCTTTGAGGTACACTTTAAGTTTAGTAAAAAAGGGCCGAGAGAAAATGGTCTAAGCAACGAAATTTTTTATATTTCGAATAGTTTAAAACACATCGAAAGCGGCATTGGCGTAAAAATTAGCAATTTCGGAAACAAAGTAAAGGAGGAGAAAGGGTTGATTAACCTTTGTCATAAATAAAATGGAACTTTTTAGCGCATATCCGAGTCCTTAACTACTACAGTTTTCAATACATTTAGTTCGTTCTTTTTGAATTTTGATAGCTTATAGCTCTGGCACCGGAGGCAAGAAAAATCTTGACGATTATTGTGTGCATATACACAGGCTGCGCAATATCAACTTTCTTAATTATTAATATATTTTGTTGAAATTTTAACCATTGATACTTCTATTAAAGACAAACCTTAGATATCCGCATGCGGAATCTATGCGCATTATACGCAATGCCAACTTCCTTATGTATGAAGATAATATTTCTTTCAAATTTTAACTACAGATATAGTTCGAAATTTTAACCACATATCGCATATTGATGCGCGAATGCGTAGATTGCGCAATAACAACTTTCTTATTTATTAAGATATTTCTTTTAAATGTTAACCATAAATGCTTTTAGTAAAGAAAAATATAGCCATAGTCCTTTGGCAAGTAGGTACTGATAAATGCATAGACAATGCACTAACGTTACTCGCCTTAGGCCGAAAAACTTTTACTTGTCTCATTTTTCATGTTTTTTCACAAACTAAAACTAAAAGTGAATACAGGCTATAGTTCAAGCACGAGTCTGAATTATCAAATTGGGGTTATTCGTCACTATGTCACTTTAGGGCAGCATTCTGCATTATAGATTCGGAGGTCCTAGAGTTAGCACTGTCATTGAAAGTGAAAGCACTAACTTCAAGACCGATGTCGATCGTTAGTGCCTGTTGGAGCTTTATATCTTGCATTAACTCACAAAGCCGAAAATGCAGGTTGATTTAACCACCCGACTTTTGGCTAAAGGGATTGTTAAGGGTAACACGTAGAGTACGAGAAAAATAGAAACAAAAAACATTCGAATTACATTCTTAGTTATTGGGGTTCAAGGATAAAACTCTCCAGTTATTAAATAATCCCTAAGTCCTATAGGATGAAAAGTACGGAAGTGACGGAATACCCCGAGAATTTTTATTTTTAGGTTCGTTTGAAATATACAGTGCTATTTATTAAGAAGTAGACATCGGAATTTATATATGTATTGTTTTTCCCTATGTCTACTTTTAAATGACAAAATCTCTTCTGAGGGGCACCTAATTTTATGCACCAAAATAACTTCTGAAAACCAATAACAATCGGGCTGTCATCTGCTGGTGCACTGCCGTCTACCCAAACTTTTTGGAAGCACCAACGATAGTACCACTGTCCATCTCAGTGTCTTTTTCATTTGTACCTTTTAGTGCTTCAGATCTTACCTCAGTAGACAAAGTCCTTAAGACAATTTTGCCATTTGAATGATCTTTTCGATATTCTAGATTGACAGCTTGTATACATACATTAAACAAATGCAGATTTAAAAATAAAGATCAGTAGTAGATATGTTCTGGAAAGAATTCGTAAGCAATTTGTACACTTTCAATATTACAGTTAAGAGACTTGATTCATAACATTTACGAAATGATGTACTTGAAGAACACACTTCATAAATATAATAAGCTGGGATTTGCGTGTGTAAATGTAGAAAGAAAATGCAAAATGTATTTATCGATTGGCGACCAAAATCACATAGTTTTGAATTCATAATCTGCGGTGTATTCAGAATTCGAAATCTCGGTTTCTCTCAAGATAAACGCGTGAGAAAAACAAGAAAAGTATAAAAATAGGTGCTTCTTCCAAAAAGACGAACGCCAAAGATCAAGTTTCTAAAGGTTTCGCCAGCATTCCTGTTTATACGCGATCAAAGTTAAACAGCCAACACGATGGCGCAATCTTCTACAGCTTTTGGTAAATACCAAAGTTGGGCAAGGAAGTGCCTTAATTGGTTTTAGATTTGGTGTTTGAAAATATTTTTGTTTTCGTAGACGTTCCTTATCTTCGCAATTTCCGACCTCTATAGATTATCGTTATAATTCCGTGATATTTGGGGATGTTGGTATCGCAGTGCAGGAAAAGTTGCTTGATTGGAAACATTTGGAATATTTTTGAATTGGGGTCAGCTACGCTGTTACGCGTTAAGGAACTCTGATGGTATCAATATACCACTTGTGTTGTTCTGTTCGTTTGATTTGTGTATTTTAGGTGGAAAGAAGACCGGAGGTCGATATTATTTCCTATCAGCGGTTTTGGCGATTACGCCTTCCTAACCACAGAACAATGCCCTTTTCTCAACAGTCAAAGCTCTAGTGTGCAGCTGTTATTTTCTTTTTGTTTTGATCTTTACCGATTAACAAACTTGAAGTTATAGAGAAAACGATAAAAATTACGATAAAAATTACATAATCATCAACTGCTTGCTCCGGGTGCAATTTTGAAACTTTATTGCAAGTTAATTTCCGGTATCGCGCTAAACGTACAAAATAACTATTTTGCAGGTGTTTGACTCCCTTTACACCTCACAGTACTTGATGGCAAGTGGGAATCAGAAGAACAACAATATTAAGGTTGTCGCTTTTATTAGGTATACTATACAAAACCACTTCTTCCAGATACGGTTACAGACTCAATCAGAAGCTGTTATTAATGGTTCATTAAAAGTTTCCTTTTTTTTCTACAAGATAGGTACACCAACAATATTAATATTCATTACAGTTAAAAGTATGACAGCTTTTCAAATATCAACAAGTGCCTCATGAATGAATAAAAAATGTTCTATATTGGCAGATAAGTACACCAGGTACACCCATATGGTTTGATACCTATCTATTATTAAGCAGTGCAGCAATATGAATTTTTTAAGTCGGAATGCTAACTCCCAAAGGAAAATTCTCGTCGCCGGTGTAACCTCTAAGACAACTCACTCCACTAAGTAAATTCACTACGGGAATTTTCTCCCGTCCCCGCCTAAATACTCGCTCACAATGAACTTACTTTAATTGAATTCACATTCGTGACAGTTCGACTCCAAGTAGTGCGGGGGTTATAGGTTTCAACCTTGCATTTTGTGATAACTTTATGAAACTTTCAGGGGATGTTCTAGACTCCCTAAGGTTCAATTTCAGCTATGCCGCCACCCCCGCAACCCCGGACGGCACTTGCTATAGCGGGTTTCTTAAGTGCAAGGTAGCAAGTCAATACCCGCCCATAAAATGAGTCAAAAATGTATATCCAGGGTTTGTTTTGTACTTTCTTACATCTAGGAAGGTTGAAGGGAATTGTCAAATACCCAGGGACAATTTATGTGGGGTATTTTACGTGGTTTACCTATTTTCGAGGCGCTTTTAACAGTGCGGGCCAAAAGAGGTCTCCGTCACGATTTTACTGTCCGCACTAGAGAATGCAATACCGGGATTGCGGGATCCCGAAATACCGGGATCCCGCAGCATTTTTGCGAGATTAATCCCGCACATAAATGGAGCGGGATCCCGCGGGATTTGCGGGACTGAGGAATTTGTCGACCAAGGGGACGATTCTGTTTACTTTGTTAATGAAACTGATAACGGCGAATTATTTTTTAAATAATTGTTAAGCTTTTTTCGTTAGAAATGTACTATGATTTTTGAGGCACTTTAGAAGACTTTTTGTGCTTTACAGGTAAGGTTTTTTTTGAGTTCTAAGTTAGGCCGAAGGTACTTTTTTGTTAAATATTGTGATAATTAGCGATTTATTTTAATACAGAAGTTAACCGCACAGAATTGCCAGAATTTGCCAATTTATTTAAAGTTTTGCGAGATCCCGCAAATTCCGGGATCCCGCGGGATTAACATCTAACAATCCCGCAAATACCTGGATTGAGATTGTGCTGCGGGATTGCATTCCCTACTAGAAACCAATTTCGAAAGAAAATTCAAAGGGCTGTAACTTTTGAACTAGTAGCCCAATCTAGGAACTGTTTGAAATTATGGATTCTACAGGCCACATTCTATAAGAAAAATTTTTTTCCGGGTCGATCTGAGACAATTTTTTTTGAGGGCCTCAAAAAAAGTCAGTGTATAGCCTTCCTTTTTTTACCAAAAATCGACTGCACCAAAATTTCTCGGGAAAACACTTTTCCTTATTAATTTTGGTGAATAGAATCCAAAACAATTCGTACTTTTTCGATCAGTCTTCTCAATAAAAAG